CTAGATGGTGTAGGTGGTTGGCACCTAGAGGATCTTTTTGGATGTGTAATAAGTATACAAAAAAATCAATTTTACCCGACTTTTTGAATGTGAATTGGAAGGTGAAAAAAAGGGTAAAATTAACAAATAAAGCAGGCTTGTAATATTGACAGGTTAGGCATATGCTTTCCGAGACTAAAAATGGTCCCTGGAACACAATTACGTAACTGAGTCTGAGAGTGGGTAGAGTGGGTAGAGTAGTCCCAATCCAATAATTACTTCCTTTTGTATGCAGCACGGCAGCAGTGAAAAGCTATAGGTTTAAGCTTAGGGAAGCTTAGGGTGGGCACGGTTTAATTTTGTTGCAATCAAAATTGAACCATAGGTTTACCGAATTTTTGGTTACAAATTTTTAGTAACTATTAACTAAATCAAAATTAATTGATTTTTCTCTATTAAGGGCAAAATTTATTGGGTTTTTTTGGTTTTGGTTAATTTTTAAAAATTAATTATTTGGTTTAGTTTTAATTTAAACCCAAAAATAAAAATTAAATTTAGACATTATTTAGAGAAGGAATGCATGGGAACGGAAGAGAAGAGCCTAAAAAAAATTTTCATAAGACATTAAATTTTAAAAAAAAAGCCCAAATTTTTTTTAAATGGGCGAGAATACCAAAAAATCATTCAATTTCAAATAAAAAAGTTCAAAAAATTTGGTTAAACTCAGCTTATTATTGATTTTTTGGTTTTTGAACCTCATTAACCCACAAAAACCCACTTGCCCGGTTGAGATTCTATCATAACCAAAATATGGTAAAAAATATATATATATACAAAACCTGAAAAAACAATCTTAGTAAAAAAACTCAAAACCAAGTTAAACTTAACATGTCAGTTATAATTTTCGTCAAATTCAAATATTTTTCTGGATGTGGATTTTTCTGCTCATCTCTATTTAAACTTGGTCCTTGGAGAAAATGGTCGACCAATTTTTCACTGTGTGTGAAATTAAGGTCTTCGTTGGGAGAATTTATTGGGTCGAAATTATTGCTTTCAATTTTCTTGTGATGGCTACGTGACTTTGGCGTTTTCCTTTCATGTTTCAAGATAAACACTCAAGAGACGTCCATTTTAGAGTCAATGCCAGGAATATATTCATTCTTTTTATGAAAGGTGTTATTAGTTTCATTCATGTGATCCCAATGCTACCCTATCTCTATCTCAATCGTAGAAAAGACAGAGTAAATAATTTTCCATAGTAAATTGATTCGATTGATAAGAAAATTTGTTTTCAACTTTATTAAGCCTCAATGTTTAGCTAGAAATGTGTTGTCTTGACTTTATTTAGATTCCTTAAATGTGACGTAATTTCTTTCACTCATTTAACGGTTTTTTTATTTATAATTTATTTAATGTGAATTATAAAATTGAAAATTCATACTTGATTGATGATGATTTTTTTTTTTTTATCTTAAATGACATAATAAGAGATAAGTCTTTCATGTTTCTTAATTTTATCCTATTCATATATTATGATCCTCAAACTTAAAATATTTAATTTTTAAAGAAAAAGATATTATCACTAAATTAGTTAGATAGTTGATTTATTAATGATTATATTTATTACAATCACATTAGAGGGGTGATAATGTATTTTCAATACTAAGGGCGTATTCCAAAAAAAAAAGGGGTATTGTGAATGATTCCCATCTCTTACTTAGCATCTTTTCATTCTACAATGTATTAGGGGATAATAAATGGATTATATAATTTTCTTTTAGAAAGGTATATGGTGGGTGAAGATAAGAATCCCACGAACCTCTAAAAGGAAGACTGCATAGGGGGCATATATATAAACCATTCGCCAAGAAAATCATGTCTTACACAACGAGTATTCTCCTTTTTGTGGGGGAATTTCAGTGACCTGCGGCTGCCATTAGTGATGAGTCTAGTATACAAGGATATATAGCTAGATAGCTCTTGGGCGTGATGGGTGGTGGAGTGAGGCTAAAGATAGAGACATTATTCATTGCATTCTTGAATCCATAATACCCTTCCCACTACGAATGAAAAGAGAATACTAAACAAGTGCAAAAGATCAGCAAAGGCACAACAAAGTACTGCTGCATCTAGATTTGCTCCACAAGTGTAAACATCAGCTTTCTCCCACTAACACACGATATTTCATTTATGAGTTTTTTTGAAGATTGTGGATGCAAACCCAACTTCCCCATCTTGGGGTAAAGATGGTTATGATTCCTTTTCTTTCTCTTTTCATGAGTGGGGGTACTTTGTCTGAAAGTGTTCATACCGGTTCCTTCTTGTCTACATTAGGCGCCTATGTTACAAAAGCCAACACCCAAATCACTCATGTAGTTTGGTTTGATTGAGCAAAGTGACATGATTTATGGATTTTCCATGTGGATGGATAAGATATAGAGAAATTGGATTGGACAAACTAAAGTACCTTATCATAAATCTTTATAGTAGGTTAACTAACACTCTCCTGTCCATTTTTCCACCTCATATTCGGGTCCATATACTTCTAGTTGAATTTAAAACTTCTAATTTCAATGAAAGAAAAGAGATTACCAGGAGACTCTAATGTTTTTTATGCTTGTCATGTTAAGATTTTTCTTGTCGTACTTGAAAAAGATGACATTTGAATTGGACAAAGGGATGGCCTGAAAAATCAAAATTGATTCTGATTTCTGAATGCAATGATGTGAACAAAGAAACACAGAGAGGGGGATGGATTTGTACTATGTTTTCAAATCTCTTGCACTTCCCATTAGTTTCTCTGTCCCCTCTCCTTTTTCAAAGTTATACATTCCAAGAGTGAAAAATAGACATGAGCATGGGAGTTGAAGTTGACAATACAGGAGAATCAGCCATATCACTTTGGACCAAAATAAATGGAGGCAGGGATATGTATTGTACCCATTTCACCATTATTATGAAAAAGTACTACTGAATGTCAATAATATTGTGCTGTCCCAAAGACAATTCATTTGGCAAAATGCAGAAGCATTTGGCCCACCAATAATGGACCATAAAAACATGTCCTTACAAAAAACAGAATCCAGAGATGGCTGATTATGACACTCAACATGCTCATCTCTGAATATAAATTTACACAAGATTTGGGACAAGGGTATTTTATATGGCATTCATGTCTCAGAAATGCACCAAACTAAGCTGTATATGGACAGACCGGTACAAAATGTGTATGCAGTGTTCAAACACCTCCCAGAGATGTGAACTTGACCAAATAATAGTGGAGGGTGGAGGGTATCAATACAAAATCAAAAGAGATTACATCAATTGTAGCATCTTGGATCATTTTCAATGGTAATTTCAAGATGTGAATGCATGCCACTTGCATTCTTCAACTTTTGTAAGTCTTGGGGGGGAATTTTGGTGCTTTATCAACTAAGAGAAGATGCCAATGCTATCAACTTTTGCTAGGGCGCCGAGGAACATGAACCACTAATCTGTTTTTTCTGGAAAGTGATTTCTAGAAATAGTTTGAAACTTTAAGAAAGAAGAAATCATGTGATGTTTTTAAGAACTTTTTCTCAAAAGATTTTCTGCATGATATGATGCAGACCCAACAAAGAGCATCCAGTCCAGCACCACTATTTTTCCCAAT